AAAAAGCCTGGGTGACAGAGCAAGACTCTGTCTCAAAAAAAAAAAAAAAAAATGGTTTTCCAACTGATAGCCTGGAAAAACAAATTATTTGCTGAACTTAGCATTTCAGTTTTTTTTAATTCAGGGGAGAAAACTCCCCCATATAAAACATCTTAATCTTTATTTTTGTAACTTAAATTGATTTTCCTTTTCCATCAAATCAAATGCAATGGAGCAGGAGTTCTGTGTTTGTCACCAATCCTTTATTGAAACTGGTAACTTACACACTTTATAATAGAACAACAAAAATAATGTTCAATATATACAGCCTTTGCATGGACTATTTGACTATACACAGGCAGAGTGATAACACAATCTAATTTCATCATCATCTGTGCACAAAAAGACACCAAACAGACAACATGTGCACATCACAGTGAAATGACATCACAGGTCCAGTGAAAATTCAGCATAATACAAAACGGACTGCTCTATTGCAAATGACATCTTTCTAAATGCCCAGCTCTTACTCAGTAGTAATTTACCCAGAGTCTGAAGCAGAGATTGGTTGTGTGGCTATAAGTCTCTTAAGTGAGACAACCTCTGCAGATAAGTTTGCTATCCCCTGCTTCAAATACAAATTCTCTGGGTCAGAAACTTTGTAGCCACTGTCTTTCATTTCAACAACTCCAGTTTTGAAACTATTCTGAGTTTTGCCACTCAGTTCTTTTTGATGCCAGTGCTCCGATTTGAGAGACCAATCTTGAATGTTAGTCACTTGCACTGAGAAAGGAGTAAGAGAAGAATGTACCATACTTGGGGCACTATGCTTTTCGAGTTCGAAATGTCTTTTAGATGTCATGTCAATAGGTGAGGAAAGTTTTTGCGTGGTCTCAAATTCATTATCAAAGGCTTCTACTTTGATCTGCATGGCTTTGGCTTTGATCCGTAGCTTGTGTGGCAAGGCAGAGGAATTCACTTCTGGAACTTTAACCACCGTTGTATGCACATGCTTAAGTTCAACTGGAGAATGGATGGGGCCCTTGGGGACCTGTTGCTCATCTTCTCCATCAGATGACTTTCCAACCACGCCATCGTCGGTTTCCGATGTTCTCGGGGAGTTGCTGGAGGATCGGTTGACTTGCAGTAGCGGGGGAGAGTGTGAATACCCAGAAAAAGAATTCCCCATATAGTTTTGATAGATGGACGCTGTGTAAGAGCCTCGGTCATCTCTTGGCTCTCTTGTGTAGCTCTCTAATTCAATCGGCTCCTGCTTGATAATCTGGAACTTGTTTTCAGGACTTCTGCAGCTTCCCTGCACAGAGCTCTCCTGCGTGTGTTCTACCGAGGATACTTCTGAAACATCGGACAGCGAGCTTTGTGGAGAGTGTTTAATGACAGAAATACAACTACTTGCCACCATCGAGGGTTCGTGCTCATCCACAAATGAGCTCACACTGGATTTGGAAGTCTGGTAGTCTTGAAAGTACACAGCTGTAGAATTACTGAGTTTCTGAATCTCTTGAGCATATGCTGTGGAGCTAATTAAACCAAACTTTAATTTTAGTGAAAGCAGCTCAGCTTTTAAAGTGGCGTTTTCTTCTCCCAGTGCAATTAGTTTGTTCTCTAAAACCAGGTCATTCAGTCGACGCTTCTCACGAGATCTTTTGGCAGCTTCGTTATTTTTCCGCCTTTTTTCCCAATACATAGCATCTTTCTTTTCATCGGGAATGAATTCCCGTTTCCTCCGACACGCAGAAGATTTGTTTTTCCCGACGCTTCCTTCACTGAGAAGCAGCTCCTCACCTGTTGTGGAGTCTTCAGACACTTCAGTTAAAGCAGAGTTAAGGACCATCATCTTGTCCACATTGCTACTGGCATCAAGAGATGCCTGCTCCTTCTTGATGGTCTGCATTTTTCTCAGCTGCATCAGAAACAACCTTACCCTATATATGTGTGTGGGAGAACAAATTAATTTCCCCGTATGCTCAAGCTGTTTAAAAACTGTGGTTTAAAATCCATCAATATTCTTCCTTTTGTTCTACTGCCTGGGATAAATCCGTCAGGTTCCTTACTGAATGAAGTCGGGTCTCCCTGGTTATCTGCAATACATGAATTTAAAAAAAAAAAAAAACAGTCATTCATTGGATAAATGTTTATTAAAAGTTATATACAAGGAAATATGCTAAGCATTTAGGGCATGCAAGCACAGATGAGGCACAGTCACAGTTCTTTCTTTCAACATGTTAGCATTCTCAAAAAGGAAATAAGTTCCCAAATACCTGAAGTATAAAGATGTAAAGGGCAAATCCCTAAGGAGACCTACCAGTAAGAGAATATGTGGTCCAGGAAAGTGAGGGAAAAATAAAATAAAATAACCTCTGCCCAGGAAGAAATAGAGGAAGGCTGTATTTAATGAGGAGAAATGGAGAAATAGTTGGGTGTGGGCAATTACAGGAAGGAAATGACAGATAGCCTCTAGTTGGTAGGTTTCTAAACAGCACATGCATACCATGGTGCTTCTAAATGATGTTACCTAATATTTATATCACTGCCAAGCAAACATGCTCACCTCTTAAAAGGGAATTTACCAAGTAAACTTTAGCATCAGTAAAAAAAGTTTTGCACTCTTCTATGGAATAAAACATAAATGGAGACAAATTTCTTCTACAAAAACTAAAGTAAAAGCCCACTAACAATGGAGCTATTGGTTTTAATCTGCACCTTAATGTGAACATAAACCTGCCCATCAACACCCCTGACTGCCTGAGGGGCTTTTATCCCCGCAAATCCTACCAGGTGACTCACTACATCTAAATGAAAGGGATCTTCTCTATCAAGCCATCTCTTTACAAGCATCTGAGTTTAAGAGATTAGAAATTCTTTTTTCTGATTCCTTTGAATTGTTCTATCAAACATTCAAGATTGAAGTGTCCAAAATACTTTTTGTGATCTTGAAAATGCTGTCAAAATAGATTTGAGATTTCAGTTACGTAGTAGCTTTGGACTTAAAAACAGTTACTATTCAAAGGGACTTTTAAAAGTACAGCACAGTCTTGAAACAAAATTATTTTAAAACAAGAGAATATAGATACAGAAAAAGGTTCTTTCAGTTATATTAATTAGTTTCAAGCAAAATATAACAACTCAAAAACAGAATCATCCATTAGTTTTCTCTTCCACTGATGAAACAATTACAGTACAAATCTGGCCTGACAGTTGCCTTGACTGGAGATAATAAACTCCACGTTATGTTCGGATAGCAATTGTTGCATGGGGGCTTTTGAATCTAACTGTTTCTAGACACTGATTCTCTGCCTAATGTTCCAGTTGGTAATGCTTTTCAAAAAGTAGACATGGTACCACAATGGTTCCGTCAGCATGATCTGCACACAGTGGCACTTTATCCTACCATATTAAAAAGATGTAATGTTCTTACACGATGTCACTATCTCTTTCTTATGCCTAGTTTCATCACAACTAATAACGTGAAGTTTACTTTTATCAATTGGAAAAAGCCTGCCAGCTTCTTTCGTCTTTTCCAGAAGGAACGAAAGGAATGATGTAATAATTTCAGGATCTTAAAGAATAACGTTTCATGCCATGTTTCTGCCCATTAAACTGGGCCAACACAGTAAATGGAACAGCTAGTTGTAACTCAGAGAAATTTGTGATTATTAATACGAAGTTTCTGTTTCTTTTTTGATAATGGAACTTTAACGGGAAATGAAGGCAAGGAGTATGTCACAGTCAGCAGTGATGTTGCAGAAAAGGAATCTTCCTATTTATCATTTAGTAAAGCAATACTATTTCCTTTTTTTTTTTTTTTTTTTTTTTGGATACAGAGTCTTGCTCTGCTGCCCAGGCTGGAGTACAGCAGCACGATCTCAGCTCACTGCAGCCTCTGCCTCCCGGGTTCAAATGATTCTTCTGCCTCAACCTCCTGAGTGGCTGGGATTACAGGTGCCCGTCACCATGACTGGCTACTATTTTTGTATTTTTAGTAGAGATGGGGTTTTTACCATGTTGGCCAGGCTGGTCTTGAACTCCAGACCTCAGGTGATTCGTCTGCCTTGGCCTCCCAAAGTGCTGGGATCACAGGTATGAGCCACTACACCCAGCCAACAATACTATATCCTCTAATTTCCATTTAGGTTTTGTCCTCTAACATAAAAACCCATTTTCCTCTACATATTGAATGGATTATTTCCTCTGAAGTCTGTACTCTGCCATTCAGCAAAGTCCTCCCTGCTAAAGTAAAGTGAGTGGGGAAGCAAAGAGTAAGATATCCCAGTTAAAGACGACGATTGCATTGACCTTTTCCAAGGCGCCTTTCAAATCTCCACTATACTCTCAGCCACTATTTTTTTCCACTTTTAGTTTTTAAACATCATATGGTCCCTTGCTGATATTATTCTCGGTATTTTCTCCACTTGAGAGTCTTTCTCTTCCATGTGTTATCTTATGCATTCCTTCTTAAAAAAAAAAAAATCAGATTCCTTTTTTCTGCCTCACTTAGTAGTTTTTACACTAACACTTTTGAAATGCCCCACCATTCTGTCTGTTTTAGTTACTCTTCCTAAACTTCTAAGACCTTTCCAAGGTTGGGGCCCAATTGGGAGGCAGCCTTCACAGTCCTATTTCTATTGAACTAAAATAGCCCCATGTGTCTTAAAATTTCTTTAACTCATGTCTTCCAGGTGTGTAAGTACTAAATGTCTACTTTATCATCTCTACAACTTTGTAGGTACATTAAGACCTACAGAAAACCTCATTTGTTGTTTTTTTTTGTTTGTTTTTTTTGAGACAGGGGCTTGCACTGTTGCCCAGGCTGGAGTGCAGTGACACGATCTCAGCTCACTGCAGCCTCCGCCTCCCGGGTTCAAGCAATTCCTCTGCCTTGGCCTCCCGAGTAGCTGGAATTACAGGTGCTCACCACCATGCTCCACTAATTTTTTGTATTTTTAGTAGAGGCAGGGTTTTGCTATGTTGGCCAGGCTGGTCTCGAACGCCTGTCCTCAAAATCCACCCGCCTCAGCCTCCCAAAGTGCTGGGATTACAGGCGTGAGCCACTGCGCCTAGCCACTTCATTTGTTTTTAATCATCTTCCTATTTGAATTTCACGACACGTCATTATTCTTCTCTCATCTGTATGTATTCCATTCATGATCTCTACAACTCAATGGCAAATCACCACACTACCTTAGGATATTTTCTGTAATATCATGTATCAAATAATCTTGCAGTGCAGAAGAGTTTATCAGCATTGTGGGATAATAGAGAGAGGCACAATCATATGCACTGTGTGTCTTTCCACATGTTTGTCTTTTGTGCCCAACTACACTGCGATTACTTCAGGGCGGAAATTAAAATATACTTTTAGTCTTCTAGCAAAAACCTGAAGATATTAGGTGCTCAGCGTTTGATTGACAGTCACCCATATACCTTATATATGACAGTTTTGTAACCAGAAAACTTTTCTGATGCTTTCTTTTTAATGTTGTCATGTGAATTCTAAAGAAGATATTTTATTTATTAACAGAGGGCTTCTCTTATTCATTAATGGTTTACTCAACACACATAGAGCACCTACTGTGTACTGGACACAAGGGGAGACTGGGGGTGCATAAAGAGGGAGGAAAAAACCAAGCTCCCGACACCAGGCGCTCACAGTCGTGGGTGGGAGACAAACAGGTGAGCAGAGGGGAACCAGGTGTGAGTGCAGAGCTGCACAGACAGGGGCCTGGGGTTCAGGCTTTATTCTCGTCATGGAGATAATAACAAAAACAATCATAGTAGGTGCCATTTATTAGACACTTATCACAAAACGGGCACTGGGAGCCTGACCTCCTTTCATTCACTTTCAGATGAGAAAACTAAGATTCAGAGAAGTCAAGTGACTTGCCCAGTGTCACACAGCTGGTTAAATGGCACAGCTTACATTCCAGCCCAGTTCCTTTACTCTCTCCTACACTTTCCCAGGTTGTTCTGCATCTGTGCAATGCAGTCTCATTTACACACAGTTCTCTTCTGTGTCACTTTCATTTCTGAGTAACACACACCCATTACTAGGTTACTTTGGGTGCAGCAAGGCACTATGCTATCTTAACTTCTTTTAGCCAGCAAAGATACTATCTAGAACTTTTCTTCATCCTCCCTAGAGTTGTTTCACACCCTGGCACTATTTATGAATTGAGATAACATTTTATTAATTTTCATATCTCTGCTAAAATTTTAATCTCCTGGCAATTGTAATTATGTTAAATAGAGAAAAAGAAATATGATAGCTGTGGACACTGTCACCTATGATCTTTTTTTTTTTTTTTTTTTAACAAAACCAAGAGTGTAATCTGTTTTCAACATGAGTCACGGAGGGTGGGGGTGTGGGGGTGGGGCAGTGTCTCTCTGACCCTCTCATTTTTCAGCTTAATCAGCTAAAAGATAGGCTAACCTTCTCAAGACCACATGGCAGTTGGGCACAGATGGGCTCTGGGTTCTCCTTATGCCCCTCAACAATAAACTTAAAGCAAATGCAAAGGTAGTTTACGATGCCTTCAAAAAGCCTCAGGATTTATGCTAACCTAACAAATTTATTTCAAGCCTCAGTATTTTCCATTATGATTAATTTAACAATTACTTCATCTATGCATCATCGTTTCAAATCAACATCTAATGTTGTGGTATATTCGTCATTGCTTAAGTTTCTTTTCTGGTGAATAATTGACACTACATGCCAATCCTATGATGTTAGTGTATTCAGCACGATTAACTTCATTACACACATTAGATGATGTGACTCTCCTTGAAAACACAAATAAAAAAGAGAAATTTAAGAGCAGGTATTATTACATACCAGTTGACATACTTTTCTGTACATATTCTGAAGGTGCCATCACTAATTAATGCTTTTTTATAGTTCATCAAGCTATTTCTATAAGCAAGAATTCTTTTTCATATGCCAACATTTTAAAAGTTTGTAATTAAGAACAAGATTTGACTTAGAAAATTCTATAAAAGAAATAACCTCATAACAATAATTCTAGACCAAATTTATCCTTGAGGAGTTATCTCATTACTTATGTTTATGATAGACCTTTATTAC